GGGGGCCGCGGCTCGCTCGGGGTCTGCAAGTCACCAGAGGCTGCGGAGCAGCTGGCGGGATCCTACAGCGCAGAGAAAGCCCCTCGCTCAGCACTTTCCTCTCTGTGGCCTTTTTCCATTCAGCAAAACCTAATCCTTTCCTTTCCGCTCCCCGCAGCCCCCCGACCTTTCCCCCCGGCTCTTCCTGCCGGCAGCAAATCGCCCTCTGGGCTGCTGACCTGCCCTGCTCCTCCTGCCTGGGCCGTGGCTCTGCAGGGGAAGCGCTTGCCATGTCAACAGGACTGTGTCCACTGCAGGGTGCCTGGGGGCTCAGGGACGGCTCACCCGTCCCTTGTCCCCATGGGGCCTGTCTCCATACAGCCCTGAGCTCTGACAATAGCCCCCTGTTCCAGCCCTGCCGCTAGGACCTGCGTGTCCTGGTCCAGACCCATCTCTCCTGGGTCATCCTTTTGGGTTCAAACTGTTGCCTGGAGGCTGCTGTGGGGTGGAGAAGGGTGTATGTGGTTAACCCAGGCCCTGGGGGTACCGGGCTGTGCACTGTTAGCTCCACACTGTCAGGGACCCAGTGGAGCCCCAAAATGTCCCACCACGAAGGGGCTCCTGCAGTTTGCTCCACTTTCGTGGAGGGCTGGCAACTGCCCCAGTGAAATCCAGCCAAGACCTCAAAGCTAAGGGTCTCCTGCAACATCCTGACCCCAGGAGACAGGGTTTGAAGGAGAAATGCCCCATGCAAGGGGGGCAGTTGGAAGCATCGGCTACCCCGTGGTACCCAGACTGCCCAGAGGTCAACACTGGGCAGGGACATGCTGGCACCTGAGTGCTTGAGAGAGCTCATGCATAGTGGCACGGTGGGCTCGTCCAGCTGGAAGAGAGGGCTTTGACCCCCTCCATCCCCCCACACCCCACTTACCCAATGTGATGGGTTTACTGTCCTCCTGATCCGAGCCAATGCCCGTCCTGGGACTGCTGCTCTGTTCTGAATCTGGAAGAGGAGGAAACGGGGTGAGACGCTGCTCTTGGGTGCAACCAGAGGATATCTGCCAACTGAATACCCCCTCCCCCCCAGCCTCCCGCACCAGCCCCACAAGGGGTCAAAGCGGGTTCCTGCAGTCGTGCCACTGCCAGGGCCACAGACGTGGGCACCAGTGGGCACGGACACAGCACAGGCTGCTGCAGCCACAGCTCCTGGCCTGGTCTGCTGCAAGTGAGGTAGAAGAAGATGCAGGACGTCATCTGAAGGCCCTGACAGAGCCTGCATGGTGAGAGAGGGCACGGCTGGCACTGGGCACCACCCTGCCTGGACCCAGCCATCCTTGGAGGGACCAGAGCCCAAACCCACCACTGCCCAGCCCTGAAAGAGCTCGAGACGCTTGGTGCCACGCCAGTTGGGATAACGGGGCCAGCAGCCTTGTTAGGGCACAAGGTGAAACTGAGGCATGGGCCAACAGGCTGGCTCCCACCTCCCGGCAGGGTTGCACACAAACCCACACATTCCCTGCCACCGGGGAACGGCCGGGATCATCCCTCCCTGTGCTCCCCTGCTACGGATGCAGCAAGCTGGACCAGCCAGGCTTGCGAGGGCCGCTGCCGGCGGTGGGGCCACGGCAGTGCCAAAGCCCTGAGAATGCCCCTTCCCTCACATAGTTAAAAATGCATCGGGTGGCGCGGCCAGCCCGGGGTTCCCATGGTGACAGACGAACACTAATGGCTGCGTTATGTAATATGGTTTGGTGCCGTAATGGCCCCTCCACGCCCTGCGCTCGCTCGCCAGTGCTTGCCATGCCGCCGCACGGTGATTAACGAGCCGCCGCAGCAGACGGGGCCTCCCCCCCGCCACTGCCCACCGCCCCCCGTAAGGGA